ATCCAACCACCTCGTTTTACCGAAACATATGTGTTGTCCTTTCCACGCTTTTTTGAGTCGTCGTTCGCGTTCCGTTTGCTTACGCTAAAGGGTTCTTTATAACTAGATACTCTTTCTTACAGATAGATAGACAGATCATGGATGCGGCACCGCCTGACCTGCTGGTGCTATTGTCGCAGATATGCAACGCCGTTATGATCGTGTTATGTTTGTTCGGAGTCGTAGGCAATTCTCTCTCACTCTATATCTACACGAGGCCAGCCTTTCGTAAAAGGTACAGTTTTTTTAGCAAGTGTTGTACTTTGATAGGTAACCACAGCTCGCACTAGACATTCAATTGAAAAAGGCTTGAGGCTGAATGGATCAGGATTTGACAAGTTAATACAGTCGTCATCCGGGCAGTTGATTAGGCGGCAAAGGGTCGCGACGCGGCTGCGGCGATCAGCTGTTTCCAGCCTAATTTGGCCATTTTCTCCCTAATTTTCACTGTATTTTCTATTTTTTCAAGGTAGATTGTTTTATTGTCTTTATGAAGGACACTAGGACGTGGAGTCTTTCTTTTGTTTTGGCAATAGAGTGTTTTTGCGTTTTTTCAGGTATTTGTTCAATTGTCTGCTTAACTGTTTAATTGTACGCAAAAATCAGAGGAATCTCAATCATAATTTACCTTGTGAAGACAAGGAACAACTAATCTTGAGAAAAGCAGCCAAAACAGTGTAAATTAGGGAGAAAATGGCTAAAATAGGCTGGAAACAGCTGATCGCCGCGCTCGTGACACGCCGCAGCCGCGTCGCGACCCTTGGCCGCCTAATCAAGTGCCCGGATGACGACTGTACTTCCTTAGCAGCATTGTTAGTGATAAGCTAGCTTCCCCGCTTAGCATTTATTTATTACATGCCCGCTGGGAGCATGTTGAACCAACATGAAACATCAGAACCAACATAACAAATCAAGGTATCATTTCAATGTTTAAAAAGAGTAGAAGTAAGAAATAGTAGCAATTAAAGGGAAGGCAGTGCTTCGGAAGGTAGATAAAACTTCGAATAACAAAAAAAATGAAGAGAGAAAAAGTGAAAGGAACCAGTGCAATGAGAGGAGGAGTCTGTGAGCACAACTAGCTGAACTTCTTGAGGAAACGCGAGATTTCTTGTTTGAAGCGGGAGAGCTTTAGAGGCAAACGAATGCTCTTGCATAACTTAGAGTACTCAGAACCAGCACGCTGAGTGAAGAAGTGGCTACGAAGCGAGACCTGGCGAGGTTAAGGCAAATTTAGCATGGGCACGTAAGGACTGGATTTTTCGTTCGCAAAAGTGCAGCATCAAGCGAGATAGCACTACATAATTATCCCTCCTCATAATGGTCTGTAGTCTTTCTGAGAAAGGAATCATCTCGTAAGTTTGGAATTACATCACCTCCCAACTATTACTTTTCTTACGGCGCAGGATTCTCCTTACAATGATGTTTCAAAAAGAAGGCGGACGCCTCATTGCCGATGACGTGCAGAAACTACATGCGTCGCGGGCTGTCGTTCTCGGGGTCTTGGTTCTTGCTATGTGCGAGGTGAATAGTCTGGAGCTGCAGCATCGTGCAACTTTTTCCACTCAAAAGTGCAAGGAAACAGGTCTGGACGGCAACGATACCGGGGTGCTGTTTGAAACCCACCCGCGCTGCCACACGGCCAGCCACTCCCGTGACTATGACCGAACGCGCTGTTTCTGGTTCCTCATTTGAGTGCTTATTTCGCCCCAGGATCTTTGGTATCGATGCAAGTGCTGCACATTGAGGATAAGCGGGGCACAGTATGGTGACGGCACCTTGGTGCCTTTCGGCCCCAATCTTTTAAGAAAGCGGCACGTACCTGCTGCTGCTCACCCATTCACCTCGCACATGGCAGGCAGTACCTTCGAAAGGGAGCGTACAGTTTGTAGTCAAAGGAGCCATCTGATCGGACTGGTTCCAAAAGTAGAATCTGGATTTTTGAATCTTCTTTCCTTAGCGCTTTGGGAAAGAAATCTCACCACTAAGAAAGCACAATTGTGAGCTCGCCTATGCGCTTAGCACGGAATGTGCATCAAGGCAGCGCCCACGTTCATTTGATGTTCCCGCGCCCTCTCTGGATATCATAGCCCTCCCTATGAGGATGCAGTATGTACTAGTTTTGCATCTCAAAAAGGCGAGAGGATAGCGCCGTTCGCTAGTGAAGAGTCGGCCGCCGCCCACCTGGCCAGCATAGGGTTCTATAGGGCGTGTTGATTTTTTTGATTTCTTTTCTGCTTTTTTCTTCACTTCTGGATCACGTATTATATGAGCTCCATAACTCATATTCCTTGGAAAGCGGGCTCAACCTTTAAAGGCTAAGCCAAAGCAGTTGTGGCAGGCAGGTGGGTCGAGTGGCGCTTCTTTACAAGCGAGTATCCATCCTCTCGTATTTTTGAGCTGCGAAATTAGTACATCCTCCACCCTTGTCGACAAAGCTACGATATCTAAGGAGGGCGTAGGAACATCAAATGAACGCGGGCGCTGCCTTAACGGTGCGAGTGCCTGTCTCACTTTTTTTTCTGAAATGAATAGACATATCTCTCAAGCATTCCTTCATTGACAATAACCTTCTGCTCGCATTTGAACAATAATTTACTTATTTTATTGAATCGATATTACTACAATACTTTTTTGTCACATTGTTCATCACCTAAGAGCTCTGTACTTGGAATTCTTGAACTCTTACCGAACGGTAAAGTTTAACTATTGGATGACTGGCGAAACCCAATTTAAGAAGCCAATATGAAATCGGCAGTTCCCACACTAGATCATATGCGGCGGAGTGGTCCTGCGCTTGTGCTCTCCTCTCCCTCCTGTGCTTTTTTTCCAAGGAGAATAACGAGAAAGTGCGAACTGCGTTTTTGTCAGTGTGGAATGTGCCTTGAACTGGCAAAGCAGCCTGAGCCATTTCTCAGTTTCATGGATAATGGAAAGATGAAGTTTTTAGTAAACTTATATTAGATCAAAAACACCAGTTGTCATCAGCTCAATGAACGAGTAAAATAATATAAAGTAAAACAATAATTGCAGATCAATCAATATTCTACTATCGGCACTGTCGGCTACTGATCTATCGGTGTGCGTGTTGTCGATACCAGTGTTCAGTAGTTAGTAATGCATTTGCCAGTTTCTTTTACCCGGGTAAGTAAAGTTGAGCGAGTAGTGTAAAAAATACTCGATTTGCGGAGAACGTCCTTTGGAGGCTGACCAATGATTTCTTTCAGTTTCCGAGCGGTCGATCGCGTTGCTCATGTTCTACGCGTATCCGGTTACTGTAATGTTTCAATCGATGAGTGTCTGGCTGCTTGTATCGATTACGGTAGATCGATATCTGGCCGTATGCCATCCTTTTGTAGTCGGAAGCTACTGTACACGGTGAGTTTCACTGAACGTTCCAGTAGAAGTGGAAAGCTCTCCTACTGGAAGTTCGAACTCTAGACGACATTTGGCGGGCGATGTACTCCGGAAAAAAGCAGCTCACCACTTTTTCTGGAGATTTCCATGGAAGGAAACCATCGTAATCCCATAAAAGCGCACGCACATGCTTACGTGTCCAACGACAGAAAAGGGCTCCGAACCCAAACCAAAGCACCTCATTTTGGGCTAACCTAATCTAAACGGAGGCAAAAGAAGGAAACCCTTAGCATTCCCGGCAAAATCACCACGGAATGTTGGCTTCTTCTTGCAGGCACTCCCACGCTTCAAAAGGGCAGGCGGAGTAGGAGTTACCTCATGGGGAGAGAGCCCACCACTTTGGCGATTCCACGCCGACATTTCTATTAGCAGTAAGCTTGTCAGTCGAAGGCCCGAAAGGACTGGTGGCTTACGTTTATTTGTGCTGAAAGATTCGCTGCTATGATTTGCACTCTCAGAACTCCCTAGATGCGATTCGATCCACGCCTCTTATTGGAGTGAAGAGTCGCCTAGCTGCTGCTTCGCCTAATCAGAAGGCCCGAATCAATCCATTAGGTCTTCTTCGACTTGTCCGTCACGGCATACTACAAGCAACATACTTTATGGCTTGCATGCAAGAGGCATGTCCTTCTTCAGACCTGAAGGGGTCGGAGCAGTTCAGACCACTCTACCAAACCTCTCTGTCACCCTTCTAGAGTTAGAGAGTGAACCTCGAGAAGACCCATCTTGCTTTTTGTTCTTAATATAAGAGCAAACTACCCTGACTGTTATGAGCGTTCAAAAACCGTAGTCCTCACAACAGAAAGTGTTAGCGATTAACCACATAACCTTTTAAACCCAGTTTTAAGGAGTTCATGGCAAGGAGATGACGGAAACGATGTAACCCATAATGGGTTTAATAAATGTTGAATGCGCGAGCATCAATCAACCTCTAGAAAACCGCATTTTTCCAGGTCTCGTGCTCTTCTGACCGTGCTACTTATCGTGATATTCTCTGTTGTGTACAATTTTGTGCGATTTCTGGAGTTCCAAATTATTGAGTCTAGCACAGGGGCTAGTGGGCCATCTTCCTTTACCATATAGGTAGCGGAAATCATGGTGGCGCGTTAATACTGGCTCGAAGGCAGACAACCTCGCTCAGCGTCATTTAAAGGACCAGGTAACAGCATCGTATGTGTGAAACACATTAGGGGTAAGTTTATCCGCTGGGAGAGTGAGTGTCGGTATTTCACCGTTGTTGGGAGAGCGGGGAGGATGATTTACCTTATACATATGGTGAGGCGGCGGGGTCCTTTCACATTCTCCCTCGAAGGGTGGGGTCGTGATACACTACCAGTTCATACATCACGATGCTATACCCTGACTGCTGTCATGCGGACCATGAGAATGGGCTAATTGAAAGTGTTCGCCACTCTTCAGTTGCTTTGAGCAAGCCTTACATAAAAGTCAAAGAATACAGTGGAACCCATATACTCCATTTTAGAGACGCTAGAAGCAATTGTGCAGCCTCTGCTTCGAGACAGTGCTTTGTTCATGTTATGGTACCAAAATATCGCAACATTGCTGTCGCAGTTCGTTCTTCCTCTCCTTGTGCTATGTGTTCTGAATTTACAAGTGAGTAAAACTTTCATTTACCCTGAATATCACCTCACTGAACTGATCGAATAATCGGCGAACTTCGGGCTCAGGGGTAGGGGAGCATTTTGCATTTTCGCTAGTTCATTTTCCTAGTTCTCGTTGAATTACACGTCCCGCCTTGAAGGCACAATTCCGCGATGAATAAGGCTATAGACCTTCAAATGTGTCGGACGATCCGGAAGGCGATTTTTGAGGCCGCGCTACTTTCAAAATGTGGAAAACGGCAAGAACTCCGCTAGAAGCTGACTAATTAGGCCCATTGACACCCCTTAGGCCCATGCCGACCTTCACCGGCTGCTAGCTACTAGCTAGTAGCCACTATGTTATCTTTCTCTATAACATTTCGGACTGCTTTTTCTGCTGCTTTTCTCCGCTAATCAGATACTTAGCACTTTTGTGCCTATTTGAGTTCCGTTTCCCGCAATTTGCGGTCGCGAACTGTGCCTTTAAGACATGCGTTACGTGTGCGAGTTCTAAACGAAACTCGTGGTCCCGTTGCATAGCTTTGCAGGAGTTTACAGGCCTTTATAGAATTGGGAACTGGCATACCCCAACAAGCCAAACTGCCCCGAATAATCTCCCAAATCGTTGCCAAAGAAAGCAATAAATAGCCGCAGGCCGACAGATCTCATATGAATTTGTTGAATTTGTGCCGCCCATTCTTCTTCTTCCTAAGTCATAGCATTTGAATATTCGATATGTACAGTGGTTCTAGGGGAGAGCTTATGGACTTTGCAGCGAAACCGTCCATTTGGACAAAATAGCCTTGCACAGTTCTGACCCCTAGGAATGCGGGGGCTCCCCTGACCTGGTCGAGAATAGATCATGGATTAGGGGCCATTTGTTGCAGCCCATCATTCGGCATAGATTGTGCAGCAACGAGGGGAAGTCTTTACATTCGGGTCACACTTTATTCAGCGTTCCGTGTCCTATTATATTTGATTCAGCATGAAGTAATACTCTCACGCTAAATTAGCTGGGTCAGGGCGAGAAGAGCACGAGACCAAGCAAGGTTACAGCGTGACAACTAGAACCTATAGGGTAGGGCGTCCTGACGCGAAAGTTCAGAGCGCAGAGAAATAGAGGACTGCTGTCGCCAGAAGTTGGAAGGTATGGAACACGTCAGGTTAGGTAACTCCGCGACTGGTCACGGAATGTTGTACAGACGTGAGAGCGCAGAGAAAAACGGAAAGCTGACGCTATCAAGAGGATTACCTTCGAGATTGCGTGGACCCCAAGAAAGAAATCAAGTGAGCGCGCATTCGCATTTATGCTAGGGTCTAGCCCATCCCGCAACTGTTATCAAGAGTGGTTTCCGTGAACGTAGTTCAGTTTTTTAATTCTTTCATTTGAGGTAGCGCGCACGATTCTGCGGGCCACAGAACAACGACGTGAACTTGTAGCATCTGAGAAACGTGAACATAGTACAGCCAAAATGATGATTTTCGTCGTCATAGGTACGTCCATCGATCGATAATCGATTCAGACAGAATGAATTCATGACCTTTTACAGTATTCCTTGTGTGCTACACGTTCTCATTCATTCTCAACGTCGCCGAGATACTATTTTCGGCGTTGTTTCGACATCCAATAGGATACTTATTGAATGATATCAATAATATACTGGTAGTAGTGAACACATCATCGCCCTTTATGTTCTATGTGAAATACTCAACGAGGTGGGTTGAAGCTTCCAATTTCAGCGCCTCATTTTCAGAGTAGGAGTGTTGTGTTCCAATCCTTTCTGAAATGAAATCACTCATCCGATTCTATTTGAAACCCCATATCGTATTGGGTAGCGTTCAGACATTGC